GCTAGATTCTCTCGAACAGATTGACAATATAAGCTAGCACTAACGGAAATAAGGACTTTGTATTAACTGGTCGAATGAAATGGTGACAAAGATTTCGATGGAAAGGATGAATTGAAAAGAGCTCCAGAAGCAGTTACAGAGTTTTCAGGTGCAAAAAGTGAGTGAAAAAATCAAGCCGAAGGTCCCCAGAACTAAGTCATTCCCCTCCTTTATATAGCTTGCCTCGTCGAGCTTCGAGCTCCAGCGCGTATCTCGGCCACGTGCAGCAGCCTCAACCGGATATCTCGCCACGTGCAGCAACTTCCTCCGCGATCTTTGGACTCATTTGAACTGGCGGGAATATTCTCTGACTTGGCTCGAAATTTTCCTTATTTCTTGGGATTTAGTCGAGCTGGAGCTCGACCTCGCTGATCGGAACGTCTTGTTGCTTAGGATTGAGTTGTTGAAAGGTGAATGGGCCTGAGCCGCAGGGTTGAAACCCAGCCACTTTGGCTTAGTATGGACCTGTTTGTTAGACTTGAGTGGACCGGATTTGGGGTGTCAAATCCAGCTCCAACAATAATCTATTAAAATATGAGTATATTGTTATTTTTTCATATTAAAATTGAAACAAATTTATTATTTATCTCCAATTTTATAATGAAAATTTAGAAAATAATATAAAATTGAAAGAAAATATTATTTTTAATTTATTATTAAAAAAAATTTTTATCCAAAACCTATAAATTAATAAAATATCAAATATTTAATATTATTAATTTATCGACTTACTGTAATTTTTTTTTTAATTTCCATTATTTTTATTGCTAAACAATGCAAACACATGTAAATAATATGCATCGAAACAAAACCACCAGAACTGTGTAGAAGAGAGCCAAAGCAACAATGTACCTCAGAAAAGAAAAAGGTTCAAACCAGAGCGGAGGGACAGGTCGTTGGAAACAAAAGAACAATACAAATGTTGCGCAGAGAGGAATGATTCTTAGTCATGTTTCTCGCTTCCGAACAGTTTGTCATACACATCTGATTTCTGCTTGGGTACGAAAGATTTAAAACTCAATACTATCGAGTCTATCTCCTGCTCTTTCTTTTCGTACACGAGAAAAGTAATGAAAGCAATGGGAAGCCCTGTTGAACAAAAGAAACACAACAACAACAAATCTATATATTATTGAAGAATTACAACTGAAAGAGAGAGAGAGAGAGAGAGAGAGAGAGAGAGAGAGATCTATAGATCTTCCACCACAGACGGCGCCAAAATGTGGATACAGAAATCCACACTAAGAAATTTATGTGTTTTATAAGGAAAGAAACTTAGAAGAATTGAGGGCTAGATTCTCTCGAACAGATTGACAATATAAGCTAGCACTAACTGAAATAAGGACTTTGTATTAACTGGTCGAATGAAACGGTTACAAGGATTTCGATGGAAAGGATGAACTGAAAAGAGCTCCAGAAGAAGTTACAGAATTTTCAGGTGCAAAAAGTGTGTGAAAAAATCAAGCCGAAGGTCCCCAGAACTAAGTCATTCCCCTCCTTTATATAGCTTGCCTTGTCGAGCTTCGAGCTCCAGTGCATACGTCGGCCACGTGCAGCAGCCTCAACCGGATATCTCGCCACGTGCAGCAACTTCCTCCGCGATCTTCGGACTCATTTGAACTGGCGGGAATATTCTCTGACCTGGCTCGGACTCTTCCTTATTTCTTGGGATTTAGTCGAGCTGGAGCTCGACCTCGCTGATCAGAACGTCTTGTTGCTTAGGATTGAGTTGTTGCAAGGTGAATGGGCCTGGGCCGCAGGGTTGAAACCCAGCCATTTTGGCTTAGTATGGACCTGTTCGTTAGAGTTGAGTGGACCGGATTTAGAGTGTCAAATCCAGCTTTAACAATAATCTATTAAAATATGAGTATATTGTTGTTTTTCATATTAAAATTGGAATATTTTTATTATTTATCTCCAATTTTATAATGAAATTTTAGAAAATAATATAAAATTAAAAGAAAACATTATTTTTAATTTATTATTAAAAAAAAATATCCAAAACCTATAAATTAACAAAATATCAAAGTTTTAATATTATTAATTTATCGAGTTACTGTAATTTTTTTTTAATTTCCATTATTTTTATTGCTAAACAATGCAAACACGTGTAAATAATATTCATCGAAACAAAACCACCAGAACTGAGTAGAAGAGAGCCAAAACAACAATGTACCTCAGAAAAAAAAATGTTCAAACCAGAGCAGAGGGACAGGTTGTTGGAAACAAAAGAACAGTACAAGTGCTGCGCAGAGAGGAATGATTCTTAGTCATGTTTCTCGCTTCCGAACAGTTTCTCATACACATCTGATTTCTGCTTGGATACAAAAGATTTAAAACTCAATACTATCGAGTCTATCTCCTGCTCTTTCTTTTCGTACACGAGAAAAGTAAAGAAAGCAATGGGAAGCCCTGTTGAACAAAAGAAACACAACAACAACAAATCTATATATTATTGAGGAATTACAACTAAGAAAGAGAGAGAGAGAGAGAGAGAGAGAGAGAGAGAGATCTATAGAACTTCCCCCACAGACGGCGGCAAAATATGGATACAGAAATCCACACAAAGAAATTTATGTGTTTTGTAAGGAAAGAAACTTAGAAGAATTGAGGGCTAGATTCTCTCGAACAGATTGACAATATAAGCTAGCACTAACTGAAATAAAGACTTTGTATTAACTGGTCGAATGAAACGGTTACAAAGATTTCGATGGAAAGGATGAACTGAAAAGAGCTCCAGAAGCAGTTACAGAGTTTTCAGGTGCAAAAAGTGTGTGAAAAAATCAAGCCGAAGGTCCCGAGAACTAAGTCATTCCCCTCCTTGATATAGCCTGCCTCGTCGAGCTTCGAGCTCCAGCGCGTATCTCGGCCACGTGCAGCAGCCTCAACCGGATATCTTGCCACGTGGAGCAACTTCCTCCGCGATCTTCAGACTCATTTGAACTGGCGGGAATATTCTCTGACTTAGCTCGGACTTTTCCTTATTTCTTGGGATTTAGTCGAGCTGGAGCTCGACCTCGCTGATCGGAACGTCTTGTTGCTTAGGATTGAGTTGTTGAAAGGTGAATGGGCCTGGGCCGCAGGGTTGAAACCCAGCCACTTTGGCTTAGTATGGACCTGTTCGTTAGACTTGAGTCGACCGGATTTGGGGTGTCAAATCCAGCTCCAACAATAATCTATTAAAATATGAGTATATTGTTATTTTTTCATATTAAAATTGAAATATTTTTATTATTTATCTCTAATTTTATAATAAAAATTTAGAGAATAATATAAAATTGAAAAAAAATATTATTTTTAATATATTATTAAAAAATAAAAATTTTCCAAAACCTATAAATTAATAAAATAATAAAGTTTTAATATTATTAATTTATCGAGTTACTATAATTTTTTTTTTAATTTCCATTATTTTTATTGCTAAACAATGCAAACACGTGTAAATAATATGCATCGAAACAAAACCACCAGAACTGAGTAGAAGAGAGCCAAAGCAACAATGTACCTCAGAAAAAAAAGGGTTCAAACCAGAGCGGAGGGACAGGTCGTTGGAAACAAAAGAACAGTACAAATGCTGCGCAGAGAGGAATGATTCTTAGTCATGTTTCTCGCTTCCGAACAGTTTCTCATATACATCTGATTTCTGCTTGGATACGAAAGATTTAAAACTCAATACTATCGAGTCTATCTCCTGCTCTTTCTTTTCGTACACGAGAAAAGTAATGAAAGCAATGGGAAGCCCTGTTGAACAAAACAAACACAACAACAACAAATTTATATATTATTGAGGAATTACAACTGAGAGAGAGAGAGAGAGAGAGAGAGAGAGAGAGAGAGAGAGAGAGAGAGAGAGAGAGAGAGAGAGAGAGAGAGAGAGAGATCTATAGATCTTCCCCCACAAACGGTGCCAAAATGTGGATACAGAAATCCACACTAAGAAATTTATGTGTTTTGTAAGGAAAGTAACTTAGAAGAATTGAGGGCTAGATTCTCTCGAACAGATTGACAATATAAGCTAGCACTTACTGAAATAAGGACTTTGTATTAACTGTTCGAATGAAAAGGTTACAAGGATTTCAATGGAAAGGATGAACTGAAAAGAGCTCCAGAAGCAGTTACAGAGTTTTCAGGTGCAAAAAGTGTGTGAAAAAATCAAGCCGAAGGTCCCTTGAACTAAGTCATTCCCATCCTTTATATAGCTTGCCTCGTCGAGCTTCGAGCTCCAGCGCGTATCTCGGCCACGTGCAGCAGCCTCAACCGGATATCTCGCCACGTGCAGCAACTTCCTCCGCGATCTTCGGACTCATTTGAACTGGCGGGAATATTCTCTGACTTGGCTCGGACTCTTCCTTATTTCTTGGGATTTAGTCGAGCTGGAGCTCGACCTCGCTGATCAGAACGTCTTGTTGCTTAGGATTGAGTTGTTGAAAGGTGAATGGGCCTGGGCCGGAGGGTTGAAACCCAGCCACTTTGGCTTAGTATGGACCTGTTCGTTAGAGTTGAGTGGACCGGATTTGGGGTGTCAAATCCAGCTCCAACAATAATCTATTAAAATATGAGTATATTGTTATTTTTTCATATTAAAATTGATACATTTTTATTATTTATCTCTAATTTTATAATGAAATTTTAGAAAATAATATAAAATTGAAAAAAATATTATTTTTAATTTATTATTAAAAACAATTTTATCCAAAACCTATAAATTTATAAAATATCAAGTTTTAATATTATTAATTTATCGAGTTACTGTAATTTTTTTTTTAATTTCCATTATTTTTATTGCTAAACAATGCAAACACGTGTAAATAATATGCATCGAAACAAAACCACCAGAACTGAGTAGAAGAGAGCCAAAGCAACAATGGACCTCAGAAAAAAAAAAGGTTCAAACGAGAGCGGAGGGACAGGTCTTTGGAGACAAAAGAACAGTACAAATGCTGCGCAGAGATGAATGATTCTTAGTCATGTTTCTCGCTTCCGAAAAGTTTCTCATACACATCTGATTTCTGCTTGGATACGAAAGATTTAAAACTCAATACTATCGAGTCTATCTCCTGCTCTTTCTTTTCGTACACGAGAAAAATAATGAAAGCAATAGGAAGCCCTGTTGAACAAAAGAAACACAACAACAACAAATCTCTATATTATTGAGGAATTACAACTGAGAGAGAGAGAGAGAGAGAGAGAGAGAGAGAGAGAGAGAGAGAGATCTATAGATCATTCCCCACAGACGGCGCCAATATGTGGATACAGAAATCCACACTAAGAAATTTATGTGTTTTGTAAGGAAAGAAACTTAGAAGAATTGAGGGCTAGATTCTCTCGAACAGATTGACAATATAAGCTAGCACTAACTGAAATAAGGACTTTGTATTAACTGGTCGAATGAAACGGTTACAAGGATTTCGATGGAAATGATGAACTGAAAAGAGCTCCAGAAGCAGTTACAGGGTTTTCAGGTGCAGAAAGTGTGTAAAAAAATCAAGCCGAAGGTCCTCAGAACTAAGTCATTCCCCTCCTTTAAATAGCTTGCGTCGTCGAGCTTCGAGCTCCAGCGCGTATCTCGGCCACGTGCAGCATCCTCAACCGGATATCTCGCCACGTGCAGCAACTTCCTCCGCGATCTTCAGACTCATTTGAACTGGCGGGAATATTCTCTTACTTGGCTTGGACTTTTCCTTATTTCTTGGGATTTAGTCGAGCTGGAGCTCGACCTCGCTGATCGGAACGTCTTGTTGCTTAGGATTGAGTTGTTGAAAAGTGAATGGGCCTGGGCCCCAGGGTTGAAACCCAGCCACTTTGGTTTAGTATGGACCTGTTCGTTAGACTTGAGTGGACCGGATTTGGGGTGTCAAATCCAGCTCCAACAATAATCTATTAAAATATGAGTATATTGTTGTTTTTTCATATTAAAATTGAAACATTTTTATTATTTATCTCCAATTTTATAATGAAAATTTAGAAAATAATATAAAATTGAAAGAAAATATTATTTTTAATTTATTATTAAAAAAAAATATTAATCAAAACCTATAAATTAATAAAATATCAAAGTTTTAATATTATTAATTTATCGAGTTACTGTAATTTTTTTTTTAATTTCCATTATTTTTATTGCTAAACAATGCAAACACGTGTAAATAATATGCATCGAAACAAAACCACCAGAACTGAGTAGAAGAGAGCCAAAGCAACAATGTACCTCAGAAAAAAAAAGGTTCAAACCAGAGCAGACGGACAGGTCGTTGGAAACAAAAGAACAATACAAATGCTGCGCAGAGAGGAATGATTCTTAGTCATGTTTCTCGCTTCCGAACAGTTTCTCATACACATCTGATTTCTGCTTGGATACGAAAGATTTAAAACTCAATACTATCGAGTCCATCTCCTGCTCTTTCTCTTCGTACACGAGAAAAGTAATGAAAGCAATGGGAAGCCCTGTTGAACAAAAGAAACACAACAACAACAAATCTATATATTATTGAGGAATTACAACTGAGAGAGAGAGAGAGAGAGAGAGAGAGAGAGAGATCTATAGATCTTCCCCCACAGACGGCGCCAAAATGTGGATACAGAAATCCACACTAAGAAATTTATGTGTTTTGTAAGGAAAGAAACTTATAAGAATTGAGGGCTAGATTCTCTCGAACATATTGACAATATAAGCTAGCACTAACTGAAATAAGGACTTTGTATTAACTGGTCGAATGAAACGGTTACAAGGATTTCGATGGAAATGATGAACTGAAAAGAGCTCCAGAAGCAGTTACAGAGTTTTCAGGTGCAAAAAGTGTGTGAAAAAATCAAGCCGAAGGTCCCTAGAACTAAGTCATTCCCCTCCTTTATATAGCTTACCTCGTCGAGCTTCGAGCTCCAGCGCGTATCTCGGCCACGTGCAGCAGCCTCAACCGGATATCTCGCCACGTGCAGCAACTTCCACCGCGATCTTCGGACTCATTTGAACTGGCGGGAATATTCTCTGACTTGGCTCGGACTCTTCCTTATTTCTTGGGATTTAGTCGAGCTGGAGCTCGACCTCGCTGATCGGAACGTCTTGTTGCTTAGGATTGAGTTGTTGAAAGGTGAATGGACCTGGGCCGCAGGGTTGAAACCCAGCCACTTTGGCTTAGTATGGACCTCTTCGTTAGACTTGAGTGGACCGGATTTGAGGTGTCAAATCCAGCTCCAACAATAATCTATTAAAATATGAGTATATTGTTGTTTTTTCATATTAAAATTGAAATATTTTTATTATTTATCTCTAATTTTATAATAAAATTTGAGAAAAAATATAAAATTGAAAGAAAATATTATTTTTAATTTATTATTAAAAAAAAAATTTACCCAAAATCTATAAATTAATAAAATATAAAAGTTTTAATATTATTAATTTATCGAGTTAATGTAATTTTTTTTTAATTTCTATTATTTTTATTGCTAAACAATGCAAACATGTGTAAATAATATTCATCGAAACAAAACCACCAGAACTGAGTAGAAGAGAGCCAAAGCAACAATGTACCTCAGAAAAAAAAAAAGGTTCAAACCAAAGCGGAGGGACAGGTCATTGGAAACAAAAGAACAGTACAAATACTGCGCAGAGAGAAATGATTTTTAGTCATGTTTCTCGCTTCCGAACAGTTTCTCATACACATCTGATTTCTGCTTCGATACGTAAGATTTAAAACTCAATACTATCGAGTCTATCTCCTGCTCTTTCTTTTCGTACACGAGAAAAGTAATGAAAGCAATGGGAAGCCCTGTTGAACAAAAGAAACACAACAACAACAAATCTATATATTATTGAGGAATTACAACTGAGAGAGAGAGAGAGAGAGAGAGAGAGAGAGATCTATAGATCTTCCTCTACAGACGGTGCCAAAATGTGGATACAGAAATCCACACTAAGAAATTTATGTGTTTTGTAAGGAAAGAAACTTAGAAGAATTGAGGGCTAGATTCTCTCGAACAAATTGACAATATAAGCTAGCACTGACTGAAATAAGGACTTTGTATTAACTGGTTGAATGAAACGGTTACAAGGATTTCGATGGAAAGGATGAACTGAAAAGAGCTCCAGAAGCAGTTACAGAGTTTTCAGGTGCAAAAAGTGTGTGAAAAAATCAAGCCGAAGGTCCCCAGAACTAAGTCATTCCCCTCCTTTATATAGCTTGCCTCGTCGAGCTTCGAGCTCCAGCGCGTATCTCGGCCACGTGCAGCACCCTCAACCGGATATCTCGCCACGTGCAGCAACTTCCTCCGCGATCTTCGGACTCATTTGAACTGGTGGGAATATTCTCTGACTTGGCTCGGACTCTTCCATATTTCTTGGGATTTAGTCGAGCTGGAGCTCGACCTCGCTGATCGGAACGTCTTGTTGCTTAGGATTGAGTTGTTGAAAGGTGAATGGGCCTGGGCCGCAGGGTTGAAACCCAGTCACTTTGGCTTAGTATGGACCTGTTCGTTAGACTTGAGTGGACCGGATTTGGGATGTCAAATCCAGCTCCAACAATAATCTATTAAAATATGAGTATATTGTTGTTTTTTCATATTAAAATTGAAACATTTTTATTATTTATCTCTAATTTTATAATGAAAATTTAGAAAATAATATAAAATTGAAAAAAAATATTATTTTTAATTAATTATTAAAAAAAAAAATTATTCAAAACCTATAAATTAATAAAATATCAAAGTTTTAATATTATTAATTTATCGAGTTACTGTAATTTTTTTTTAATTTCCATTATTTTTATTGCTAAACAATGCAAACACGTGTAAATAATATTCATCGAAACAAAACCACCAGAACTGAGTAGAAGAGAGCCAAAACAACAATGTACCTCAGAAAAAAAAAGGTTCAAACCAGAGCGGAGGGACATGTCGTTGGAAACAAAAGAACAGTACAAATGCTGCGCAGAGAGGAATGATTCTTAGTCATGTTTCTCGCTTCCGAACAGTTTCTCATACACATCTGATTTCTGCTTGGATACGAAAGATTTAAAACTCAATACTATCGAGTCTATCTCCTGCTCTTTCTTTTCGTACACGAGAAAAGTAATGAAAGCAATGGAAAGCCCTGTTGAACAAAAGAAACACAACAACAACAAAGACATATATTATTGAGGAATTACAACTGAGAGAGAGAGAGAGAGAGAGATGGAGAGAGAGATCTATAGATCTTCCCCCACAGACGGCGCCAAAATATGGATACAGAAATCCACACTAAGAAATTTATGTGTTTTGTAAGGAAAGAAACTTAGAAGAATTGAGGGCTAGATTCTCTCGAGTAGATTGACAATATAAGCTAGCACTAACTGAAATAAGGACTTTGTATTAACTGGTCGAATGAAACGGTTACAAGGATTTCGATGGAAAGGATGAACTGAAAAGAGCTCCAGAAGCAGTTACAGAGTTTTCAGGTGCAAAAAGTGTGTGAAAACATCAAGCCGAATGTCCGCAGAACTAAGTCATTACCCTCCTTTATATAGCTTGCCTCGTCGAGCTTCGAGCTCCAGCGCGTATCTCGGCCACGTGCAGCAGCCTCAACCGGATATCTCGCCACGTGCAACAACTTCCTCCGCGATCTTCGGACTCATTTGAACTGGCGGGAATATTCTCTGACTTGGCTCGGACTCTTCCTTATTTCTTGGGATTTAGTCGAGCTGGAGCTCGACCTCGCTGATCGGAACGTCTTGTTGCTTAGGATTGAGTTGTTGAAAGGTGAATGGGCCTGGGCCGCAGGGTTGAAACCCAGTCACTTTGGCTTAGTATGGACCTATTCGTTAGACTTGAGTAGACTGGATTTGGGGTGTCAAATCCAGCTCCAACAATAATCTATTAAAATATGAGTATATTGTTGTTTTTTCATATTAAAATTAAAACATTTTTATTATTTATCTCTAATTTTATAATGAAAATTTAAAAAATAATATCAAATTGAAAGAAAATATTATTTTTAATTAATTATTTAAAAAAATTTATCCAAAACCTATAAATTAATAAAATATCAAAGTTTTAATATTATTAATTTATCGAGTTACTGTAATTTTTTTTTTTAATTTCCATTATTTTTATTGCTAAACAATGCAAACACGTGTAAATAATATTCACCGAAACAAAACCACCAGAACTGAGTAGAAGAGAGCCAAAACAACAATGTACCTCAGAAAAAAAAAGGTTCAAACCAGAGCGGAGGGACAGGTCGTTGGAAACAAAAGAACAGTACAATGCTGCGCAGAGAGGAATGATTCTTAGTCATGTTTCTCGCTTCCGAACAGTTTTTCATACACATCTGATTTCTGCTTGGATACGAAAGATTTAAAACTCAATACTATCGAGTCTATCTCCTGCTTTTTCTTTTCGTACACGAGAAAAGTAATGAAAGCAATGGGAAGCCCTGTTGAACAAAAGAAACACAACAACAACAAAGCTATATATTATTGAGGAATTACAACTGAGAGGGAGAGAGAGAGAGAGAGAGAGAGAGAGAGAGTGAGAGAGAGAGAGAGAGAGGGAGAGAGAGAGAGATCTATAGATCTTCCCCCACAGACGGCGCCAAAATGTGGATACAGAAATCCACACTAAGAAATTTATGTGTTTTGTAAGGAAAGAAACTTAGAAGAATTGAGGGCTAGATTCTCTCGAACAGATTGACAATATAAGCTAGCACTAACTGAAATAAGGACTTTTATTAACTGGTCGAATGAAACGGTTACAAGGATTTCGATGGAAAGGATGAACTCAAAAGAGCTCCAGAAGCAGTTACAGAGTTTTTAGGTGCAAAAAGTGTGTGAAAAAATCAAGCCGAAGGTCCCCAGAACTAAGTCATTCCCTTCCTTTATATAGCTTGGCTCGTCGAGCTTTGAGCTCCAGCGCGTATCTCGGCCACGTGCAGCAGCCTCAACCGGATTTCTCGCCACGTGCAACAACTTCCTCCACGATCTTCGGACTCATTTGAACTGGCGGGAATATTCTCTGACTTGGCTCGGACTCTTCCTTATTTCTTGGGATTTAGTCGAGCTGGAGCTCGACCTCGCTGATCGGAACGTCTTGTTGCTTAGGATTGAGTTGTTGAAAGGTGAATGGGCCTGGGCCGCATGGTTAAAACTCAGCCACTTTGGCTTAGTATGGATCTGTTCGTTAGACTTGAGTGGACTGGATTTGGGGCGTCAAATCCAGCTCCAACAATAATATATTAAAATATGAGTATATTGTTATTTTTTCATATTAAAATTAAAACATTTTTATTATTTATCTCCAATTTTATAATAAAAATTTAAAAAATATTATAAAATTGAAAGAAAATATTATTTTTAATTAATTATTAAAAAAAAAATTATCCAAAACCTATAAATTAATAAAATATCAAAGTTTTAATATTATTAATTTATCGAGTTAGTGTAATTTTTTTTTAATTTCCATTATTTTTATTGCTAAACAATGCAAACACGTGTAAATAATATTCATCGAAACAAAACCACCAGAACTGAGTAGAAGAGAGCCAAAACAACAATGTACCTCAGAAAAAAAAAAGGTTCAAACCAGAGCGGAGGGACAGGTCGTTGGAAACAAAAGAACAGTACAAATGCTGCGCAGAGAGGAATGATTCTTAGTCATGTTTCTCGCTTCCGAACAGTTTCTCATACATATCTGATTTCTGCTTGGATACGAAAGATTTAAAACTCAATACTATCGAGTCTATCTCCTGCTCTTTCTTTTCGTACACGAGAAAAGTAATGAAAGCAATGGGAAGCCCTGTTGAACAAAAGAAACCCAACAACAACAAAGATATATATTATTGAGGAATTACAACTGAGAGAGAGAGAGATCTATAGATCTTCCCCCACAGACGGCGCCAAAATGTGGATACAGAAATCATCACTAAGAAATTTATGTGTTTTGTAAGGAAAGAAACTTAGAAGAATTGAGGGCTAGATTCTCTCGAACAGATTGACAATATAAGCTAGCACTTACTGAAATAAGGACTTTGTATTAACTGGTCGAATGAAACGGTTACAAGGATTTCGATGGAAAGGATGAACTGAAAAAAGCTCCAGAAGCAGTTACAGAGTTTTCAGGTGCAAAAAGTGTGTGAAAACATCAAGCCGAAGGTCCCCAGAACTAAGTCATTCCCCTCCTTTATATAGCTTGCCTCGTCGAGCTTCGAGCTCCAGCGCGTATCTCTCGTGCAGCAGCCTCAACCTGATATCTCGCCACGTGCAGCAACTTCCTCCGCGATCTTCGGACTCATTTGAACTGGCGGGAATATTCTCTGACTTGGCTCGGACTCTTCCTTATTTCTTGGGATTTAGTCGAGCTGGAGCTCGACCTCGCTGATCAGAACGTCTTGTTGCTTAGGATTGAGTTGTTGAAAGGTGAATGGGCCGGGGCCGCAGGGTTTAAACTCAGCCACTTTGGCTTAGTATGGACCTGTTCGTTAGACTTGAGTGCATCGGATTTGGGGTGTCAAATCCAGCTCCAACAATAATCTATTAAAATATGAGTATATTGTTGTTTTTTCATATTAAAATTGAAACATTTTTATTATTTATCTCCAATTTTATAATGAAAATTTAGAAAATAATATAAAATTAAAAGAAAATATTATTTTTAATTAATTATTAAAAAAAAATTTATCCAAAACCTATAAATTAATAAAATATCAAAGTTTTAATATTATTAATATATCGAGTTACGGTAATTTTTTTTTTAATTTCCATTATTTTTATTGCTAAACAATGCAAACACGTGTATATAATATTCATCCGAACAAAACCACCAGAACTGAGTAGAAGAGAGCCAAAACAACAATGTACCTCAGAAAAAAAAAGGTTCAAACCAGAGCGGAGGGCCAGGTCGTTGGAAACAAAAGAACAGTACAAATGCTGCGCAGAGAGGAATGATTCTTAGTCATGTTTCTTGCTTCCGAACAGTTTCTCATACACATCTGATTTCTGCTTGGATACGAAAGATTTAAAACTCAATACTATCGAGTCTATCTCCTGCTCTTTCTTTTCGTACACGACAAAAGTAATGAAAGCAATGGGAAGCCCTGTTGAACAAAAGAAACACAACAACAACAAATCTATATATTATTGAGGAATTACAACTGAGAAAGAGAGAGAGAGAGAGTGAGAGAGAGAGATCTATAGATCTTCCCCCACAAACGGTGCCAAAATGTGGATACAGAAATCTACACTAAGAAATTTATGTGTTTTGTAAGGAAAGAAACTTAGAAGAATTGAGGACTAGATTCTCTCGAACAGATTGACAATATAAGCTAGCACTAACTAAAATAAGGACTTTCTTTTAACTGGTCGAATGAAACGGTTACAAGGATTTCGATGGAAAGGATGAACTGAAAAGAGCTCCAGAAGCAGTTACAGAGTTTTCAGGTGCAAAAAGTGTGTGAAAAAATCAAGCCGAAGGTCCCCAGAACTAGGTCATTCCCCTCCTTTATATAGCTTGCCTCGTCGAGCTTCGAGCTCCAGCGCGTATCTCGGCCACGTGCAGCAGCCTCAACCGGATATCTCGCCACGTGCAGCAACTTCCTCCACGATCTTCGGACTCATTTGAACTGGCGGGAATATTCTCTGACTTGGCTAGGACTCTTCCTTATTTTTTGGGATTTAGTCGAGCTGGAGCTCGACCTCGCTGATCGGAACGTCTTGTTGCTTAGGATTGAGTTGTTGAAAGGTGAATGGGCCTGGGCCACAGGGTTGAAACCCAATCACTTTGGTTTAGTATGGACCTGTTCGTTAGACTTGAGTGGACCGGATTTGAGGTGTCAAATCCAGCTCCAACAATAATCTATTAAAATATGAGTATATTGTTGTTTTTTCATATTAAAATTGAAACATTTTTATTATTTATCTCTAATTTTATAATGAAAATTTAGAAAATAATATAAAATTGAAAGAAAATATTATTTTTAATTAATTATTAAAAAAAATTTATTCAAAACCTATAAAT